TAAAACGAAAATGGAAATTAATTCAAGATCAAAGGCAGTTCTGTATACAAAGCATAAATTTTTACTAAGACCAGATCATACATGCCAGAATAAAAAAGATTGTGTAAAAGATCATTATTTGAATATACAATAATTCACTAAGTGAAGGCAAAGTCATTACCAGCAATGCAATACACAAAAACCCTCCTACATATAATATGCAAAACCATAATTAAACTTTTGAAATGTAAAATCATATCTCTTTCTCCATCTGCATGTCTGTATGTCTGTCCGACTGTCAGTCCGTCCATCCATCCGTCCGTCCGTCTCTCTGTCTGTCTAATCTTTATTTTTTTTCTTTCCTTCTTTTTTAAAAACTAAGCAAGTAGTATTTTCTAACTTCCTCATACTTGGGCATTCAGTATCATCACTTCTATGGAAGCGCAAGGTGATGGTTAATGGTTAAAAAAAAAAAAAAAGTGCTAAACACCAAAGGTAGGCCTTGGCTGGGGCAGTCCCCTTAAAATGTTCAGGATCCTTGCATCTCTTCCTAGAAAATACACCTAGACTTGCTGGCAAACATGTCACAAGACACCATACAGGAGTGGCAGCAAAATGACCTGAATTTGCCTTCTCACCATCAATGAAAAAGAAGCAACTTGATTCTGCTAAAATGTATAAAACCTGGACCCCTCAGCAGTAGTGTACGGTCATGTTTACTGACAAATCGACCTTCTATGTAATCAGGCATGGGACTGTGCAAAGCCCCCATACTCCTGACCACTATGATGAAAAGTTCACTTGCAAAAAAGTCAAACACCCAGATTCTGTGATGGTCAAGGGGGAGTTTTAGTGAAGGGAAGGGAAAGATTCTTTTTCCTTCCCAAGAACTAAACATTGAGTGCACCCAACTACAAAACTGTGCTGAAGGAGCTTCTTCTTTAATTTTTTGAGTTCTATGAATTTAAAATTTTACAGCATGACTGTCCCTTGCCACACAGCTCTTACCATCAAGTCTTTTTTTTTTTTTTTTTACAGAGAAGGGGATTCAGGTCTTAGATTGGTCTGAGAACAACCCACACCTGAATCCTATTGAAAATTGCTGAGGGTACATGAAATGGAAGTTCATCAAAACCCCCACCTCTTCCATATCCCAGCTTAAGGAAGTAATCAAAAAGATGTGGGTCCAGGATCTGAAGCTCAGCTCCCTCCACAAATTGGCCGAAAGGAATGCCAAAATGTCAGCAGATGATGATTCAGAAGAAGGGAGGGATGACTCATTAACGAGATGTATGTAAAGTGACTTTTCATAATAAACTGTTGGTTGCATGTAACATTTTCCGTGGTAGATCAAGCCATTCTGGGTAGAATGTATATGGGGGGAGAAATATAGTTCACCTCACAAGGTCCCCATGGGGGTAAATAAATGATAACTAAATGGGATTACCCTTTGGTCATTCAGGACTGTCCCAAAGCCAGCCTTTTATTCTTTGAACATGGCTCTGACATCTTAGGAAATGGAATGAAGAAAGGGTTGGCGAGAAAAAGAGAAGGAAAATGAAAAGGGTAGAAGAAAAGACCAAGCAAATTTGGTTAAGCCGAGGGCTGAGGCCCAAGGTAGGATTAATGGTTAGAACAAATAAATGTGCTGAACATCTAAGGTCATATAGCACTAAGCCCAAGGTAGGGGAGATCGCTCCTAAGTCCTCCCCTAAGACGATAATGGGCATGGAATTCAGGGGGAAGTACCAGATAGATATGGAAATATAATTTACAAATGTAATGTGCCATTACTGAGAGAGTTTAAAATATCAGTAGATAACAAAGTGGGCACATCTATTATTTTACATATTTTGATAGTCAAAAGTGCATCTTATCCCAGTATTTAGATTTTTTTTCCAAATCTAAAATAATCTATTTTTGTCATTCTGTTAATCAATTAGAAAAGGACCAACTTACACTGCATTATTAACTGATAACTTTTAAAATTTCAGATAATAGCAATTTCAAATGTATAATTAACACCACAGTGACAGGTATTACAAATCTCTCTGCATCATGGACCGCTGGGTGTGGGAGTCCGCTACATGTAGTGGAACTTCCCGCTCGGCGCATTCTAGCACGTCGCCATGTGTATGGCTGGATATACATGTGACCCGGCAGTGACAGGTTGACCGGATTCATTGTGGCAAAAGAGGGAAAGGTATGAATAAGAATTAATATCTTCACAGTACAAGAGCTGTATTTGATTGGTTTTGATTATATCTACATCTGAAATGCATGTATTTCTGACGAAGATACAATCAAAATTGGTCAATTACATCTCGTATTACAAAGATACTCATTATCATTTATATCTTTTTAAACACAGCATATCTATCTGAAAGTGTTCTAACTGTTTAATAGCTTGAATAAATACTGAGACAGTCAGAAAATAAGAAAGTAAGAGAAAGGAAAAGACAGTGATAAACACAGTAATAATAAGATTACCATATATTCCAGAAGTTAATGAATCAGTATGTGCTTGCCTATGTACTTCATGTGTTTATACAGTCATGGACTATGGTCGCCTAACGGTTCATGAATATTAATTTAGAATTGCAAATATGGTTGGGTAACATGGTCAGAGACTTAAACTGTATCGCGTAGAAAATGATATCTGGAAAAGGATATCTGGATACATATCTTTAGTGAAATATATTAATGGTACCATTTAAACCCTATCTTCATATATTCTCACAAGACATTATAAATTTGCCATCTTGCTTTTCACTATACTTTTGTAATCCAGGTTAACAAAGAATGATAAGATCCCCTATATGAAAAATTGTCCTCAACGTCTAGCTGTCGAAAAACCAAGAGATAAAAACAAACACAAACAGGGAAACTATTTAAATACATATATTCAACAAATCCTTCAACAAACACTTTTCATCATGTTTCTCAAAATCCCCCATTTATCAGTCTTCACAATAAACCATGATCAGCCACAAACGGTATACCCCTTTTTTTAGAAGTCCAAACATCCAAAGTAGGACAACACATCTGCAAGCATAAAATATTCAGAGCAGAAGAAACACACCAGCAAGGCTACTACTGGTGTACAGCCTGAGACAAAACAGCCCAACTTTAAGCAAGACACGAGAC